TGACCTAACTGCGTACCGACTGTAAAACGTCATACAGCGACGTTCAGAGACCGGCGAGTTTTATATTTCGTCTGGAAATTCGTATTTACGTGGCCCCTCCTTTTTAACTTTTAAGCGATGTGGCGAAATCGAGCTACGAGTCGATCGCTGGTTATCTTGAGACAACGTGTGCATTTGTACTTTACTGGATCTATTATGCGCCATGTAACGTACTGCAAATCAATACTAGAAATTCGGACGAACTTGCGAGCGCTCCATTTGCCATTGATACTTTGTACATTCTCTACATTGTACTGTCACTCTTTGCAAGAGCTATTGCCAGTGCTTACTACGTCGCATCTTTCGCTTTCCTCGCAACATTTCATTAGATTCGTTCGCTATGTCTAGCGCAGCGCTGTGTAGGTCCATCAGCGATCGATATAGCCGTAGAACGATATCTTAGTCACGTCTCATGGTCGAGGACCTATTGTTGTTAATTAAAGTTTTCCTTACTAAACCAATAGATGTTAATGATTTCACTGTAAAATGCACATTATCTTTTTTCAATTATCTCACATGTATTTTTCTACTATGTAGTAATTTCTAATGTATAATTATACACATATAATTTCTCTCGTTATTAAATATATCGACGCAAAGTGAAATCCTTGACGTCGAATTTATCAGTGATTAATAAAATTAACGACATTTAACCATCTCTAAGAAATGTTAACGTGATCTCTGGTACACCAACAGATTTTCGTTCGAGCGCAATTCGACTACGATCCGCTGGAGGATGAATTGATACCCTGCGCACAGGCTGGAATCGCTTTTAGAACCGGTGACATTCTGCAGATCATCAGCAAGGATGATCATCATTGGTGGCAAGCGAGGAAGGATAACGCGGCTGGTTCCGCGGGTCTTATCCCATCGCCCGAACTTCAGGAATGGCGCATTGCTTGCATGTCTATGGAGAAGAACAAGCAAGAACAAGGTAACATAACTTTGCTATCCATATTGGTCGTTTTTGTGTAAAATCGCTCGTCTGTAGAACACGAGTACTGTTCTCGATATCTGATATGTAAAAACGATGTACGATCCAAGTTCTTTTTCTTCGCTTTAAGGGGATTGATCATTTTTCATCACGTTTTATCTTAGATTGTTATCTCGTAAAATGGATGAAGTTTCTTTAAAAAGAAAAGAAAAACATATTCGGTATAGCAATTACGAAAAATATTGTTCTTGAATGTAATTCTCTCTTCATTTCATCGAACAATTGAGGATAAAATTTCTTGATGATTTTGGTGTAAAATATTTTCAATGCTGATCCTCTGTTTAAGTGTTCTTTGAAAGAATAATGTTCTTTCTCTGGCGTTAAATATAACATTAAACTTTTAGAATAAGGATAATTTTAGTTAAAAACTCGAGTAGAATGAGTACGATAATCACTGGTTCCAGCAGATCGCAGAATCTTTGAATACAGAACGGAGAGTCAGAATTTCGCCGATTGAGAAAATCGTTATTACGTGACATTCTTTCACTGCCGCTCAATCGATCCATTATCATCCATTCACATTTGATGATTCCACTCAATTCCCACTGATTTTCACCAAATCGTTGCTGCCAGAAATACGAATGTGCTGATGAAACACGATGTCGTTCTGTGTGTTGTTCGATGTGTACAGGTTTTCGATGGAGCATGTGATATCATTGTTATCAGTCAATTATACTGTACGATAAGATGCATATTAATAGTATACTATTTTTCATTCAGGATGAATTAGTTAGGTAATTATCGTTTGACGATGTTGATCCCCAAAATATTTCGAACAGAAACAAAATGGTGTTTGATATTTCTGGATATTTTTTCATACATGATATATTTATTTATTTTTGATGTAGGAAATATTTTAAAGAAATTTGGAACTCCTTAGATTTGAAAAAATATAAAAATCACGCATATTAATTATATTCTTTGTAAACTGTAAATAAATCTTTCAAAGTGTAACAATATTTATATGTAAACGAAATTAATAATTAATAGTACTTATCAATTATTAACAATTAATAGTGCATACAATTAATAATAAATAATAAATGTTTAATTATGATATTGATGTATTTTGTGTGAATATTAACGTTTCCATAATTATACAGAATCTATATCAGATCATCCGTATCATCTCTTTTTTTTTGTCGGAAATGAATAGTAACCGTAAATCGAAAAAAATTTTTACTGCTAAAAATATTCATTGTTTCTTATTAATTTATCGTTTTCTAAACTGTATCTAACAGCGTTTCGGTTTTTTCGAAAAAGAATAAACCTGAGCCAAGTCTGAAAATTTTTAACATAAAAACATAAGTCGAAATAGTTGGATGTGTCTTTTAAAAATAAACAATCTTTGCTTAAACTTTTTTTATATTACCTATGATTACCTATGATTAGAAAGATAAGAACACGTTACAGATTATGAGTCATTCATTTATCCAGACATCAAAAGTTATCGGAGATTTAAATTAAAATTTAACTTATACTCTACATGACCTATATCTCCCTATTTTAGACTTGACTCAGGTTTACCCTACTTCCGGTAATTTCCGGAAAATTGAAATCTACATTGTTAAATAATTTAGATAAGCTTTAGGAATGAACATTTTTTTCTCAACTACCATGCATATTTTCAAGAAAAAGTGTAATATGAATGGTCTAATACATTCTGCATGTCTATAACAGTATATGATAATAGAAATAGCCTAACGATTTTAAAATATATAAATATTTTTTAACACATCTCAAGTATTTAATGTTGAATGTGATTATAGTTAATCGAATACAGTTTTTATGTTTAAATTTTAATTAGATAAATATATTTAGGTATTTAGATTGGAGGAGGGGAGGATGTTTATATATCTTATTAAATTGTATAATTAATTACTCTGAGAGAGGCTGAGTTTTTTAAACGTTATATAATTCGAAGAGATTTTATAATTCAAATTCTGCGTGAAGCGTAATAAACCTGTATTGATTTCGAATCTCGAAGCTGGGTATGAACGTTCCTGAAGCCATTCCGTTTGGCTAAAAGCATCTATCATCTGCAGACGTTAGAAATAAAGCACAAACGTAATCGTTACTTTGGATAGTTATGATCCATGAAATTTTAAAATACCATTGCCTTTGTGTTAACCATAAATCTTTTACGTTTGAAGAAAAGATTTATGGTTAACACAAAGGCAATGGTATTTTAAAATTTCATGGATCATAACTATCCAAAGTAACGATTACGTTTGTGCTTTATTTCTAACGTCTGATGCTGTTATAGTATAAGTTGGCAAAAGCAACAAAATGTTAGAAAAAGCGTATCGAATTATATGCAAGATTGTTTATATCACTCACACAAGAGTTGTTTACTCCATATTTTCATAATACATATTTAATAGTCAGACCACTTAATTTAAA